ATCCCCGGTCGCAGAGAAATCTCCACTGCGTCATATAGCCACCCACCTGTACATTTACGGCCATGAAATTCATTACTGCCTACAGGTACCGAATTCTACATTGATGGCATACAAGACCAAGTTCATTGTGCTGTCTCCCTGCAAACAACTGCTCAGTGCCCGAAGAAATTACCATTTATTGGAACCCGCGATCTCACTGCATTGTTCTCACACAACTCACTGTCCCTTATTCTGAACTACACAATTCCTGCTCTAGCTTCGCAGGCCACGTCATGTGGTGGAAATAAAGTGGCGCTAGGACACATTTTCTCCAAGTATTTTGATTTCCCCTGCCAATCTTCATTCCACCAATTGCTCCACAATCACTATCATCTAGGATTGGAGCAATAAGCCACAAGTAGCCAAATGGTCTCTCTCACCCCAATAAAAATAATAATGCCCTTGGTTCTTTAATATTGTCCTCAATACATCTAACACAATAGATCATGAATTTTATCCCCTAAAGATATTATAATAATCCACAAGACACACTAGTTTTTAGATTAATTCCATGTTCAAAAACTGTGGGAGATGTTGCTTATAAGGCTTCCCTACTCAGCCTACATCACATAGGCATACATTTCCCAAACCCCACTTCCCTAAATACAAAATTAATATTCCCTATGGCAAAGTGCAACCCGACACCACCATTGGCATTTAATTTGCAATTTCCGCTCCCCCATATTTTCAAGTACCTTTGGACTTGAATACTTCTTGTGACATATACTGAACAGAGCAAAAACACACTTCACAAATGTTTAATGGCCCAATCTGTATATCCAAAGTTTCTATTGCAAATCCACTACATTAAAATAGACTCTTATGCTGATCACAATCAAAATAGATAATTCTAGTCTGATACCAGTGGCCTCAGACGAAGTCTCCTAGAAGTATAATCTCAGTATATTTACTCAACTCACTGCCTGACATTGCTATGCTGCTACAGCTGACAGCCCAATACAAATTTAAATGCTACAAACCCAAAGTGCACACAAATATGAAGAGATGGTGAAATGGCGAGCAAAGCCTCGTGGGTAAGTAAAGGGAACCAATTTAGAAATTATTAAGACGACAGGGTTCAACTTAAGAGGGATCTGAAAACAAACCAAATCGTATAAAACAGTATATTACACATTAACCACAAAAACACAAGGAAAAACTTCATGCACAGATAATCAACAAAAGTCCAGAAACTATTACAAAATATAGAGTGTGAAAACTGGGATGAGGGAGAGTCCAACATGGGCTTTAAGCCTTTATTTCAATCCAAATGGTACATGCGTCCTTACAGCAAACACTGACCTCCAAATAAGAATTACATATATTTCACCTACCTTTCATGTCAGTGTCATTACAACTTGGGTACCAAGATATGCATAGGCATATCCAGAGAGAAACAAACAGCACCATACATCCATGAGATACTAGACTGAACTGCTGTTACATTTCATTAAATGCATAAAAACAAATAACTGAATGTCTTGTCACACTGGTTCAGAAAGACTGCATGGAGCAGAAGACAACAAAACCTCCTTGGACAAACCCCCATGTCAGTGTGAAATCAATTTCCAGTGCTTCTCAGAAATGTCTGCTTCCATTACGATGAACCTGGAGAACATCAGGTGTTCTTGTCATGTATTTGGTCATGAACAGCATCATTTAACATGGATAATGGGGAATGAAGGAAGCAGTCCCTGTACTTGTGTGTCAATGGTTACGCTTTGCTGATGTACACTGGTAGCTACGCTCTCAGACAGACTTACACTAAATCCCATTTCTCTGATGATGTCAGGATGTAACCCAGTCTCAAGGGCCAGTACCATCCGTGTACCATCTTCAAACATAATGCAGTACTGTATACAATTAACTACAGGACACCACAGCAATAACTACAACTACTGAACTACAGAATACCCCAGTACTGGTGAGAACTAGACATGTCACGCTACTGACTACAACTACACAGTACAAGCCCACCAGTGCAGCCCAGCTATATCCCAGTAACTTAAACAGGAATACAGGAGTCAGTCTGGGCTTATCATGGGCCTGGCTACCAGCTTACATCAATGAAGAAGCACCTTAAACACACAGCCTCTGGTAACTTTTGCAGCATCCGAGTCTTCAAACGTTAGGAAATAATACCTGTTGCCCTGGATATAAGTCAACCCGACTGCACCCACTGTTCTCTCCGCTAGTTCCTTTGCAACAAGGACACCAGATTCCAAGAGCAACTGCATGTATACACTGGCCACATTGCTGCATCACTCATACAATTAATCCCTGATGATGGATGCTGAGACTGCCATTAAAATGGAAATTCATTCATTATTCACATAGCTATCACCCAATCAAAACAGTTTCACAGATTGTCTACTAAATATTTAAAAAATGATATGAGTACAGCAGACCGGCTCTGTGGTCTAGTGTTCAGAGGTCCTGGATACAGATCCAACGGTCCCGGGTTCGATTCCCAGCGCTACCATATTTTCTAAGTAGTGGGTTTGGAACGGGGTCCACTCAGCCTTGTGAGGATAACTGAAGAGCTATTTCAAGAAAATAGTGGCTCCGGTCTAGGAAACCGAGATTAACGGCCATGGGGAGGCGTCGTGCTGACCAAGTGACACCCTATATCCACAAAGTCGGCACTAACTTCGCTGACAAGCGGCAGTCGCTCGGTTGGTATAGTTTGCTTGCGGACTACAGGCCACGGAGTTTATATGTAGAGTAACTGCTGCTAGCAGGTAAAAGCACTCTGTTCTTTAAGAGGAATGTATGTTGCTGCATATAATTGCAAATAATTCACTAACTATTCTAATGCTGAAGGTGTTGAAACTGAATGCAGCTTTCTCACTTCTGGTGCAGGCTGACAAATACTTAGGCATATAATGCTTCTTTGTCATCTTCAATGTGTGAGCATCAGACTGGACACTGCGTCCATACTGTGGCAGGCAAACCCTCAGGTACTAAATTCTTATATTTTTATGAGGATGGGCATGACATCAGATGAACAATTATTTCCTTTTTCCACATGCTTCTGTTTTTCTGATAATGTTTGTTGGTCGATATCTCCGCCACTGCAACGGAACAGAGATGAGTTAACACTATGTCTGACAAACTTGAGATACAGTATATCTTTGCTTGTACATACAAACACAAGAAATTAAATTTGTCATTGATATTATAAGTGTGTCTCTTTGACTTCATCCACTCAAGGGTTCCCAAGTCTACTTCACCACTGTAGATAAAACATAGTCCAACTCCGGCACCTGTAATACTCGACACAGAGTGAGTAGTACACACTACTGTACTCCTTCAATAAATACTGCCATGCTGATATTTTCCGTTTTCATTCCACAATAAGAAGATCACATATATGAACTGTCCCATTCTGATGAACAGTAAAGTAAACAGCCTATAGCTGGGTCTGTTGATGTAAGCACAATACATTTGGAAAGAAAAACTGAATGAACAATTATACATCTTACATATATGAATATTAAATAGGGGAACCATACTTGGAACAAATGGATCTTAAATAACACGGAAATCAAAATATGATAAATATTATCAGAGTGCACGAGTAAATAACAAAAGAATGAAAACTCTGATGACAGAAGCTGAAACACAGAAAAGCAATCCTACTCAAAAATATTATATATGTATGTACCCTTATACAGAGTATTTCAAAAATACATGGCATAACTTCAGGAATGCATTTCTCATATAAAGATAATAAAAACAGTTCATATCAACACACTTTCCAAGTCAAGGCTTTCTCAAACTGCTGAATGATAAGCTCAATTTTGTAACAATCAGCATCTGTGGGCACATGAAAATCTTCATGCAATTCTTCCATCACATCACCAACAGCGGTTCTCCATCAACATCTGGCCCAGTATTTGTGG